GTTTTAGCTTTTCCCTACACCTTTTATAAGTGTGCATTGCCAATGCAATGCACACTATTGTGATTCGTTTCCCATCCAAGTCATCTCAAATTTGGCATGCTTCTCCTCCTGCATACTTTGTCCTAGAGCTGCCATTGTAATTTATATCTGTGCCAAATGATGGCTATGCCTTTTGGTGCCTGTACAACTTATAGTTTATGAAATATTGATGTTTAATGAATTATAATGGGAGTCAATGGAGCCTTGTAATGGTCCAATACTGCCCCATTCTGTACTCAATTGGTACTGCACCATAGTTTAATATTTCAACTCAGTAGTTCAGTGTTTACAGTACTAATATGATTGTATTTTGATGTTTTGCTATGATATTGTCTTAATACTGCTCGATTGTTGTAATATTATGCAGTTTAGTGTCAATAATTGTATTGGCAATGTGGCCCCTTTCTGCGCACATACAAACGAAACCCTGCCACCATCTTCTTCCACAGCTCCATTGGTCTAATGGTCTATGTCATGGACTTTCAAGTGGGAGATCAGGGTTCAAAACCCAGCCAAGCCAACTTTAAAAAATCTCTTCAAACTTCATATTGTCACACAATTACCTTAATTACAAACACCTGCTGACGTGACAGGCASAAGCTGGTATAGCAAACACATTTGAACTTGGTCAAAGTTCATTCTGTAAGACCAATGCTGCAGGCAAAGCCATGCTGCAATGACATGCTACATGGCAATGCACACTTGTTTTTACATCGTAAAAACCCATGTCTAGTTGTCTTTGTTTTGCTAGTAATTTAACACTAGTTGGTTTGTCTGGTAAAGGGTATTTTGGTTGTAGTGAGTACATCGGCCACTAGAGGGCGACAGGATGCTGCAGATGTTTAGAAACTGCTGTAAACTCAGGCAAAAACAAAACTACTGTCATAAAAACCCGTGGAGACACCCAGCAGATGGCTTTAATCCCACCTAAAGATAAACTGCTCGAAGCTGAGGTTAATTTAAAAGCATAAAGCCTTTAGGGTCACAGTTTTATCCAAAACGGTGTTTGAATCCAGTAACCATGACCCTGAGGAATCAAATATTAAAGTACTTTGACTTCTCGAGTTTGTAAAGACTTAAAGGACTCCAAAGTTTTGTTTTTGGTTGCAGTTCTGGCTTCAAACTCTGCTGTTTTTATGTGAACATTTCCAGGCAGTGAGACGTTAGCACAGCTGAGCTGCTGAACATGACACACAGTTTGTGTGTGTGATGAATGATGTGTGTATTTGCTGTTTTTTTTTTTTATTGATGCTTTTCTTCCTGTGAGACTCAACAGATTTTAAATCTGCAGCTAACGACAGACAGAGACGCAACAAGCTGCCTTTGTTTCCTCCAGACRGTCATCAGGGTCATCAATAAACCAAAACGGTCGTATCTTTTCTGGAAATTTGAGTCTGAGAGATACATTTTCTCTCTTTTTAAACCCTAAGCACACTATTCTTAATCTAACACAGGGGTTCTTAACCTTTTTGACCTCGGGGCCCAATTTGTTGAACATAAAGTGGCACGAGGCCCAGTCAGACATTACC